TTCCCTTTTTTCGTTTTTAACTTTTTAGTTCTTTTTTTCCCCTTTTCCCTACTCTCTCTCTCTCTCTCTCTCCCTCTCTCTCTTTGCGTGCGTGCGTGTGTGTGTGTGTGGGACGTCTTGTGGTGGCTGCTGCGGTGGAGTAGCCGCGTGAGGACGTTTGATTTATAATCGCTGGGGGAAGGGGGAATAAATGCTGACGCCAATGTCCTTCTGCAATGAATTCTGGTTGTTGGCGCGTGCGACTTACGCGTCTTTTGCAACGATACTCAATAAAGAAAACGTTACATTAATTAATTTCAGTTTTGTTTCACTGTTTGTCTGTATTCACTGAAGGAAATCCATTTAGGCCCACACGTGGGCCGTGCGTGGTTCCCGCGCCCTGCACATGCGTGGCGGAAGTCACCCACGTGCGCACAGGCAGACACATCAAGGCGCAGATGTTGGTTTTGGGCGCCTCGCTGCTGTTTCTCCCGTTACGTTTCTCTTGTTTTTGTTTTGTGTGTGTTTCCTTATTCTCTCTCAAATAGTTTCTGTGCGACGAAAGAATGAACTCCTTGGGCTCCCTCGCGCAGCTACATGCCGAGGCCGAAAACGTCTTTGGTCAGCGCCTGCTGCTCCCCGTTGATGAACAGTTCGTGCATTCGTTGCACTGTCCTTCATCGACGGCGGCCCAGTGCGCAGGCAACTCTGTTTTTTCTGGCCTTTACAACGGCCTGCTTCAACGCACTCGCTGTCGTGACTCTGGCGCGTCCCCTGGCATCCCGCGGCTCCTGTTTTCTTACGTCGCGGAGGCGGTTGCCGCTAGCCGCAACGGAGAGTTTATGGGGCCGCTTTGCTCGCCGCTGCGCAAGTCCCACGCGGCGATGCTGCGCTCAAATGAGTACTTCTTGACAGAGAAGAGCGATGGCACGCGTGCAATTTTGGTGTCGTTATGTGTGCAAGCGTTTCCGTGCTGGGTGCTCCGGGGCGCTGATGGCTGCTCCCGCAGCTCCTTGCGCCTGGACGACGTGGCTGCGTTGGAAGACATGCGGCAACAGTTCTGCCGGGGCGCCACGCCACTGAGCGGTGGTCGGCCACTACAGCTCTCACCCGGTGCGTTTTCCGTGGAGGGTGAAAGAACAATCTCACCGGATGGTGAAGTGGAAACATTTACCTTAAAACCGTGCCCGGCACCGCCTTCGGCAGCGGCCTGCGGGACGAATAGCGTCACGGCGGAACGCAAGTGGGGTGCACGACATATGGCGTACTGCTTCGATCGTTCGATGGAGCAGGCGTACCTTCTACTGGAGGAGTACGCGGTCCCGTCGCTTTCCGCGTTTGCCGTGGATGGAGAAATGATGATTGCCGTGACCGACGTGGGAGAGAACGGGACGAGGCCCATTTTTGGCTGTTTTGACGTCTTCCGATACACTCAAGCGAAGGATGCCGTGGACAGGGACGCCCTTCTGACGCGCTGGCCCATGTCTAAACGATACGAGGCGTTGCGGGAGCTGATTATTGCGCCCATGCATGCCTCAGAAAATGCACGTAGCCCAGCGCCTTTCTTACATTTCTTCGCGAAGGAAATGTTTCCAATAAATAAATTTGGTGAATGCCTCTCCCGGCTTCGGCGCGCTGCCACGGGTGAAGGCACGGGCGGTGTGGAATACTACTACGACGGGCCCCATGGAATAACTAGGAGCGATGGGTTCATCTTTACCCCGGAAAAGTTTGACCTTGTCCAAGGTGCGAGCAAGGAGCAGCTCAAGTGGAAGTGGCCGTCCTTGCTCTCCGTGGATTGGAGCATTACCGCTATTGCGGGTCGCACAGATGAATACGTGGTGGATCTATTTTTTCGCAAGAGACGCTTTGGACATCGTCCTGACAGTGTCGGTCGCTCCCGTCTTTCATCTGCGATGTTTCTGCTGAACCCTTTTTCGCTCAGGATACCGACAGAAAGGTCGGTCGTCGCGGAGTGTGTGTTTGACCGCCAGGAGAAGTGCTGGTCCATTGAGCGTCTGCGCACCGATAAGGCCGAGCCAAACTCCGTCGTTACGGTCATTTCGGTGCTGGAGAGTCTTGTGGAGGACGTCACGCTTGAGGTGTTGATTGACATGCTCGGCGTAGCGGACCCTCTCTTGGCCAGCGAGGTGCAGTCACTGCAGGGAGACGCGGACGCGGACGCTGGGGCGGAGGAGACAGCCGCCTGGACCTCGGAAGCCTCCGTTGAGCACAGAACGTGTCAGTTAACGCTGCGAGCCACACAATTGCAGACGCCAGGCGAACATGAGCTCCATCTTTACTGGGCAGTTCGGATTTCCTCCGAAAAGCAGCATATTCCCTGCATTCATTGTAAGGTGAGCGAGTGTGCAGGGTTGGGGTTTGCCTGTCCGGTGGAGGACAAGACCTCAAGGCTGACCGAAAACTTGTACATTGCGTTGGCGAACGCAGGCGGAAGTTGTGCCTGGTCGGATTTTACAGTTGACGCCGTATTTGACGGAGATGCGGGACGGTGGAATATCGTCTCTCTGCATCCGACTGGAGAAAATCGAAAGTCAACCTCTGTAGGTGTCATTGAGCATCTGCAGTGCCTTCTTGTGCATGGACGCGAAACGGCCCGGGCGGTCATGGCATTTGCGGACGAGCAACAAACATACGGCGCAACGAATGCGCCGACGATGGGGCTGCTGGAGAAGACAAACAATCATTACGCCTGCAAGACAAGGGAGTTGTCCACTGGAAAGGATCGGAGTGCGTTGAGATTGTTTAATAATTGGGTAAAGAACATACTAATTAGCAACGCCGTCGCCTACCTGCAGATGCAGCGTGGTCGCGACGCCAAGGGGGATGGTCTGGCTGTGGCAGACTTATGTTCGGGTCGTGGGGGTGACCTTTTCAAGTGGAGGGCGCACAAGCCGCGGTACCTCTTTATGGTGGACTCCTGTCTGGAGGCCGTTGCGGAGTCCGCGGCACGGTACTCCGTTTCGAAGGGCCTGAGTGTGAAGGTTGCACCGCAGGAGAAAAGCAACCCCGGCGCCTTTGCGTACTTCACCGTCTGTGACGTGTTTGACGAAACGGGGTCCTTAGCGGCCAAATTTGAGAACTTCTTCAATGCATATTTGAAGGAGCGGCGGTTTGACATCGTTTCCTGCCAGTTTTCGCTTCACTACGGCTGCAGCACGGAGGAGCGAATGAATTGTTTTCTCCGCGCCGTTTCCGCCGCGCTGCGTCCGGGCGGCGTGTTCATTGGAACGACGGTGAGCGACGTCGAGTTGCGTCGTCGCCTGGCCGAGCACGGGCCCGTCTTTGGCAACAGCGTCTACACCGTGCGGTTTCCCGCTGAGGCGTCTCCGGGGCAATCCTTCGGCGTACAGTACTCCGTTTCCGTGGAGTCGAGCGTGAGTGAGCTTCCGGAGTACCTGGTGCCGTGGGAGCGCCTGGTCGCGCTGTGCGGGCCGCTTGGTCTTCAACTGGTGGAGTCGCTGGGGTTCATGGCGTACAGGGAGCTGCACTACAACACACCCAAGGGGCAGGAGCTGCGGGACGTTGCAGTGGGAGGCGGGAAGCGAGATTCCGACGGCCATGCCTCGCTGCCGCTTTCTTCAGAAGAAATGGAGGCCGCCTCGCTGTTTCGAACGTTCTTCTTCGTTAAAAGCTGATCACCGGCAAAGCATGCTTCATGGCCAGTTTGAATGAGGTGTAACATCGTCCATAATCCACTAAAGGAAGGGGGGGAAAAGGAATTATTATTATTGTGGACGTGTGTATATATATATATATATGTGCGGCAGTGGGGACGGGACACTTCTTTATCAGAGCCTTGTGGATAGGCAACTGCGACCAAGTTACGGCCAAACGCAGCGAAGAAGAAAGAAAAAAAAGAAAAAATCGAAGTGATGGCGTGGCTTGCATAAACCGTGACCCCGGTTCTCGACCTGTAACTTAAGTTGGTTTTCAATGCTGCCGTGTTTGAAGGACAAGCGCGAGTGCCGTTCTGTGCTTCTGCCTTCCTTCCCGCTCTTACCCTCCACGCGGAGAGAGGGAGTCGGGCGGTTGCGGGGATCCACGCGCTAAGCAACAAAAACGCACACACACGCACACACGCACACGGTTCCGCTTATTGGCTTTTCACAGAGAGCCCCGTTATCACGGAACGCCGCTAGGCCTCAACTGTTTACCGCTTTCTGGGTTGCAACTAAACACCGTCTTAATTGGAGTGTTGGGCGCAGCACAGGCCATACTGTTTGGCTTCCATTCTGTTTCCTGCCGCGTGTGGGCAGAGGCGAGACAGGGCCTCGTCCGAGGCGCGTAATTCAGCAATTTCTTCCAATTTAAGTTTCTTTTTTTTTTTTCCGTTTGTGAAGGCTAGTTTTTCATCCCCTGTGCACGTGAGTGCCTCCGATTAAAGGCAATAGGCTTCCGACAGGAAAAAAAATAAAGTAAGTATTAAGAAAGAAAGAGAAAGAAAAAATAGAATTTAACACAAGAACATACGGCACATAGGGGCAGAAGGAAAACAATACAACACCAAAAAGAAAAAGAAAAACGAAACAGAAACAGAAAAAGCAAGGATGTTTTTCTTTCCGGATGAAATGAATGGCATGCTCAACGACTTTGTGAGTGGAATGCCTGGCGGCTTCCCCTTTGCGGGTGGGCGTCGTAGAAAACAAAGGGTTTCCTATTCACTGCCTGTGACGTTAAGCGACCTGTACAATGGCAAATCGCTTTCACTTCCACATACCCGCACCGTTGCATGCGTCGTTTGTGAAGGGCGCGGCACGAATAGGAAGAAGAACAGTGTCTGTCGGGTTTGCGAGGGTGGGGGGTCTCGCCCCATTGTGCGCCAAATGGGCATGATGATGCAACAAATGTCTGTCCCCTGCGACGCATGTGGAGGGTCCGGCCTCAAGGTGGATCCCAGGGACGTCTGTCGTGGGTGTCACGGAAGAAGAACGACGGAGGTGGAATCCACGTTAACTGTGAGCGTGGAGCGTGGAATGCACCATCAGGAGGAGATTGCCTTCCCTGGTGAGGGGAGCTTCGACCCGAACACTGGAGAGACTGGCGACATTGTGATTGTGTTGGAACAGGTGAAGGATGAGACGTTTGTGCGTGATGAGGACGACCTTCAGCTAACCCATACGATTACGGTGGCAGAGTCGCTCTGCGGTTTTCAGTTTATCATCAGGCACCTCGACGGTAGAGATCTCATAGTGCGACGGGAGCGGGGGGAAATAACACGCCCTGGGGAGGTAAAAGTTGTGCTTGGGGAAGGCATGCCACGGCGACAGCGTCCGGGCCAGTACGGCGACCTAGTAATTAAATTCAACGTCGCGTTTCCAGAGAGGCTGGAGCAGTCGCAGGTGGACGCCCTGCGGAAAGCGCTTCCACCTCCTAAAAGCGTGGATCTGCAACAATACGACGACGCGGAGGAGTGTTATGTGTCGAGGGAGGACCTGGATCACGTCCGCAGGGAGTTGGAAGAAGACGCGAGGGAGGAGGATGAGGAGGGCCCAAGTGTGGGTTGTGCGGCGCAGTAGCCCCCTCGCGGTTCGTTTGTTGTTGTTGCCTTCTCTGCTCTCATCCCTCCTACACCCTCGTACTGATGAAGCGTCACTTTCACCCATTCGCCGTTAAAAATGTTCTGGTTTATATGTTATTTTTCTTGTTATTACTATTATTATTTGTGTCTGTTAACTATGCGAATGCAGGCAAACCACAGAGCAACACACACGCACACACACAGGTATGTGGGCAATGCCTCGTTCTGCATGAGGCGGGGGAAATGTGTGCAGTTTCCTCTAGTTTTGTCCTTCCGTGGCCGTACCCGGGCCAATGAACATTGGACCTGCAAGCAACGTTTGATCAGTGTCTTTTTGTTTCTGTTTTATTTTGTATTTTTGGTTCTTCTTGTTTTTTTTTGCTGGTACGTTTGGTGAAGGCACAAAAAATGCCGCCGCCGCCGCCGCGCGGCACAGTGATGGTGTCGGCGACGTGCAACGCAGGGAACATCACCCGCCTCATGCAGCGGCACCGGTACGCCGTGGAGGAGATGGACAGTGACGCTTACGAATTTGTTTGCGGAAGAACGTGCGTGTTGTACCTTGATGACTTGAACCATTTGTGTGACATGTCCTACCGGGGCGCGGTGTCACGGAGAATCTCATCCGCCAAGGCCCAAGTTGCCTCGTCTGGTCGTCGCGTTCTTCTGTTGCTGCTGGTGGGGGCGACAGATCCGCGCCCAGATGTGTTGGTTTGGCTCAACCTCCACTGCAGCGTGGAGCAGCGCTGTGCCGTGATGCTGTGCTGGAACGAAGAGGAGTGCGCAAGCTACTTGGAGGGTCTGACAGACGGCTCTGTGGCCTCCGTAGACTACCGCACGAACAGCAAGAAGGAGAGCGCACCCATCCCGGTACTCATTGAAGCCTTTACTCAAACCCCCCAGCTAATGACGCGCAACGACGTCGTCCGTGCAGCGCATCGCTACGGCTCCGTCGCCGAGCTTCTCACCGCGTCTGCCGAGGATTTGGCCTCCCTCCCCGGCTTTGGCCCAAAAAGAGCCGGAAGACTCCACACCGTCCTCCACGCGGGCTTTCATGCTTCTCGGCGCCTTGTCTCGGAGGTGTTGCCAGAAAGTCATGAGCCGCACCCTGTGCAGGAGTCGGAGACGGCGCCTGAGCGAAGCTCGGCGAGGGAAAAGATGTTGAAGGCCCTAAATGAACTGCAATGCCGCGAACTGGAGGATGACTCGCAGAATGATTGAAACTACTGCAACAGGGGGGTGGGGGGAAGCGCAGGGAGTTACGGAATTCCCCGCCAGTATTTGCACACCCACCCATCCCGAGAAAAAAAAAACGATTTTTTCCTTTATTTTTCATTGTATGTGTTATTGATGGAGTTGCTTGTTCTGGATGCGGCAACATGTCTGAATTTTTATTCGTTTCCTTCTTGTCTTCTGCTTTTAACCCTCCTGTGTGTGGGGGGATTGCCTCCATGCGACACGTAGAACGCGCTGGTGCAGCTATTGAGGGCTGTTTTCTATTCGGCCCCAAGGACGACGCAGTGGCTGGGAACGGCCAGGGCTGGGCGACTAAAAGAACAAGAGGGGAAGTGGGAGGGAGGGAAGGCAACGCCCGCGTTTCGGCTTTGCTGCTCATTCCTACACCTATTTCTGGTTCTTATTTTTGTTTGTTTCAGCAATGCTGGTGCGCTCGGAGGAAGTGGACGGGCTCGAGGAGAATGATTCCGGGGTGTTGCCCGAGCGAAGTAAGGAGATCATTCAGCAGCTGCGTCAACTGCGCTATGAATGTGTCAGCTGTTTGTGCAACATCCGCCACGACGTGGCTGTCTGGTCCTGCAGTGAATGCTTCCGTATTTTTCACCTGTACTGTATAAAAAAGTGGGCAAAACAGACCGAGAGTGGGGTTGGCTCCTCGTTTCGATGCCCACAGTGTCAGGTGACGCAGGAGTCCGTATCGAAGTATCTTTGCTTCTGTGGAAAGATGCGGGACCCACCGTACGATCCGCACATTACGCCACACAGCTGCGGTCAGAAGTGTGAGAAGCGGAGGCCATTTTGCGATCACCCGTGCCCGGTGCAGTGTCATCCGGGACCATGCCCTGAGTGTCCCTTTTTTGCTGGCCCAAAGCCGTGTCACTGTGGGGCGACCACGTATACGTGGCGCTGCGGTCATCCAGACCCACAGAAATCCTGCGACAACGTCTGCTCAAAGAGACTGAATTGCTCCATACACACATGCAAGCGTAAATGTCATGCTGGAGCTTGTCACCCATGTACTGAAAAGGTTTTAGTCACCTGTCACTGTCAGTTGGAAACACGCGAACTCCCTTGCGGTTCCTCATCTTTTTCATGTGGGAGGGTTTGCGGTAAAAAATTGCGGTGTGGTGTTCATGAGTGTGATCTATTGTGCCATTCTGGTGCTTGCCCCCCATGTGATAGGGATCCTTCTATTATCTTGACCTGCCCCTGCGGGTCCACCCCGTTAACTGTTACGCGAACACGCTGTAGTGACCCTATTCCCACCTGTGGAAAGGTGTGCGGACGTGTATTAGACTGCCAACGTCACACTTGTCAGGCGTTGTGTCATGAAGGGGCATGTGAGCCGTGTCGGCAGCGTGCCCTGACTAAATGTGTCTGCGGCGCCACACAAAAGTTAGTGAATTGTGCAGAACAAGAAGGATTTCGTTGCAATATCGTCTGTAAGGCAAAGTTATCATGTGGGAAACACACATGTCGTGCTACCTGTTGCCCAGCTCGGAAGCAACACAATAGTGTTGTGCATCAGTGTAACCAGGTATGCAACAAGAAACTTCCTTGCGGTCATCTCTGCCTGGAAGCTTGTCATCGTGGGATGTGTCCTCCTTGTGTTCATGTGCTGCCGGAGCGCCTGGTGTGTCGCTGCGGCGCTGAGGTTTTGATGCCGCCACAGCCGTGTGGGACCCCTCCACCAACTTGCACGCGGCCCTGTACGCTACCACTCCCTTGCAACCACCCACCCGTAAGACACAACTGCCACTACGGTGAATGCCCTCCATGTATGTTTCCTGTGGCGAAACCATGTGCTGGTGGGCATACAGTGGTGAAGGATGCTCCTTGCAGTGCCGCTGTTGTTTGCTGCGGTTCTAAATGTGGGAAAGTGTTGGCTTGCGGCCATGCGTGCCCTCGCGTTTGCCATCCTGGTTTGTGTGTAGATGAGCAACACCCTTGTCTGCAGCCCTGTGGAAGGCTGTATGCCGAGTGTGGGCATGCCTGTAAGGCAAAGTGCCACTCCGTGAAGACGTGTCCGCCGTGTACCGAGACTGTGGAATGCCGTTGCCAGTGTGGCCGGCAAACGCAGCATGTTCCGTGCAAGAAATTCCTTCGGTACGCGCGTGCGCACGCCGGCGAAGGCATGACTATAAACTGCAACGCGGATTGTCTTTTTCGCCAGCGACTTGATATACTGGCTAGCCGATTTAAACCGTCCGTGCCGTCGTCTCCAGCACCCGTGAAGTATTCTTTGTTTTTGTGGGAATTTGGAGTCAAAAATCTCACGTGGGTTTGCACAATTGAGGAGGAATTGGAGCGTTTTGCGTCAAGTCGTGTCCCATTGCTGTCGTTGAAACCGATGCCGGCGGAAAAACGCGCGGTCGTTCACTCTCTTTGTCACTATTACCATATTCATTCCGAGTCCGTGGATGCGGAGCCCCAGCGTTCCTGTCTGCTTACAAGGACGGCGAAAACTGCCCCTCCTGCCCCGTTGCTCAGCGCGGCCCTCGCTGATCCCGAGGGGAACAACCCATTCGCGTTTATCCAACAGATCCGCGAGGCTGGGGAGGAAGAGGTGCGGGGGCGCGTCGTCCTCATCGATGGGGAGAACGTGAATGCCGTTGGTGTCTCACGCATTTTGCATGAATTTGCTGGTGAATTTGTCTGCGGGGCAGAGGAGACAACCGCGGACGGGAAGAGGCGAATGTGGGTGTACTTTACACATCCATCACGGCAGCAGCAGGCGTACCGTCACCTGCGTTTCCTCAGGCCCCCGTTTGAGGTGTCCCTGCCGCCCCGCTCAGGCGAACAGGGCCTGGCGCCTGCCCACTCCTCCGGCTCCACGTCGTGGGCAAAGTTGGTTTGCTCCAAAGCGCGTGGCGGTTCCGAATAGGTATTAACATTTATTTAAAAAAGAAGCGGGGGAGGGGAAGGAAGGGAGAGTTGGAGGAAAGCGAAGGTTCGTGGGACGAGGCTCGAGAAAAACACCACTAACGAGGAGTAATGGTGTGATAAAATTTTGCCTGGAGAGGCTTCCGTGGCGTGCGCCCTTTGATTATCTGTATGACGCGTAAAATCCCTATTTTGCCTCACGTGCCTCTTCACCCTTTTCCGATCCTTCTCTCTCTCCTTCTGCGTGCGTGTGCGTGTGCGTGTGTGTGTGCGTTGCCCGCTTGCCCGCCTCAGTGACGGGGACGGGGAGTGGGAGGTAGGCAGCAGCCATGAACGCCTTGACAAGCAGCGACGATGCGGTGCGGAGCGCGATGCCGACCGATGCTGCGCGGGACGGGCGGGGGGGCGGGTGGCGGCCGCCGCCGAGTCCGTGGGGGGCGGACCTCCGCGTTGCGGGGAAAGGCACGAGTAGTGGAGGTGGTGACGCAGACGGGGGCAGGCGGACGCATGCGGGGCCCTCGCCACAAGGAGCAGGACCCACAGCCCCCGCCATTGCGGACTCGGAAGAGATGCCGGCGATGCCGGAGGTGAAGTTTTCTTCCTCGCCGCTGCGGGTGCGGTCCCCGCGTAGTCCTCCGTCCCTGAGGGGCGCCCCCTGCCCAACGCGCGAGGGCGCCGCGGACTCCGCGCAAGCAGGCGACGATGCGCCCGCCTGGGACGCCTTCTTGGAGCTGAAGGCGCGAACGGAAGAGTCCGTGTCTCGCATGACATCCTTTTACGATCAGGTGGTGAGGCTGCAACTCACACACGAGCAGGAGGCGGCGGCGTACCGCGATGCTGCGGAGACCATGATGCACCAGCAACGCAAGGCCCTAGACGCTCTTTCGTCGGAATGCAAGGACGCTCAATCCGCGAGAGAAAGTTTACAAACGCTTCTGGCGAAGAAGTCCCAACAACTCATGGAGTTCGAGAACGCAAACTACAGCCTTGGCGTGCGGCTGCGGGAGGCGGAGCAGCGCGTTGCCCACGTGAACGACCGCGCGACCGTCGCGGAGGCGGGGCGAAAGATTGCAGAGGTGCGGGCGAAGGAGCTTGAGATGTCGCTGGAACACACCACTGGGCTGGTGAAGGCGCTTCGCCAGCGGCTGGGCGAGTTCGCTCGGGACAGGGAGGCCGCCCTGCAGGCGCAGTACAAAGTGTTTGAGGAGAATCGAAGGGACGTCATCCACCACTACGACGCGCGGGAGCGGGCAATGGTGCGGGAGTTTAACGACACAGTGGAGAGTATTCAACGCACGATGCTTCAAAAAATGAAGGAGCGCGAGGAGCATCTGTCAAGGTACTGGCAGGACGCGCTGCAAGTTCAGCGCCAGCAACAGCAGGAATTTCTGAGGCAGGCGACGCTGATGCAGGAACGGGGGGAGAAAGACTACCAGGCAAACATCGCTCGCGTGGAGCAGGACAAGGAGCGCTGGTATGATCAGTATCGAAGTGAAATGAATCTTTTGGAGCAGCGGCACAAGGAACGAGAGCAGCATGTCCTGGCGGACATTGCGCGAAGAGAGAGAGAGCTTGGGGAGCGAGAGCAGAGGATGCGACTGCAACGCGCCCAGGAGGAACAGGAGTCCAAGGTGGCACTGGCCGCAAAGGAGGCGGAGCTGAAGGCCTATTATCAAAAAATCACGGAGGACATGCGTGCTTCGTTTGACAGGGAGCGAGCGAAGTTAACCGCATCCTTTCGTGAGCAGGTGCAGGAACTGTCGCAACTGCACATGAATAACGAGAGGGAACTGGAGCGGATGCACCGGGACAAGGAGCGAGAGATGGCGCAGCGGTATCGCGTGGCGGGCTACGAGGTGGATGATCGCAGAGGGGAAGTCAACCTCCGTGGAACGTCCCTGCAGGCGCAATCGGCGCTTTTGTCGAGGTTTGACGCGATTGAGGCGCGTCAGCGTGAACGTGCCGAGAAGGTGCGAGCCGCCTTTCACGCCCCCGCCTCTCTCCATACTTCGCCCCCGCCTCCTGAGGAGGAGAAGGAGTGACTTACTTGGAGCCCCTCTTCTGTGGCGCAGCTTCTCCCTCCCCCGAGTTTTCTCTCCGCCTTTGCGCTGCTCTTCCCTCTCCACCTCCCTTTCTGAGGGGGGCGGTGCTCTCATTGCGAAACCGCACGCACAAAGAGAAAACGAAAAAAAAAAACCAATGCTCTTCTCCGGTGCGTGTGCGTGTGCGCGTGCGCGTGAACGGGGGCTGCTGGAGGGTTGTGGCTCTTTTGTGGTCGTTCTACTCTTCGTTTCCTCTCCACGGCTCTTTCTTCTTGTGGGCTCCAGCGTCTTCGGCGCCGGATGTGGCGCCATCTCCTCCAAAGCCTGGGGGCGGCGGCGCACCCCGCGTTGCGGCGACGCGTGGCGCCCGCCAAACAGGTTCACGGAATTTTCTGTGATGCGAACTCCGGCGGCTTGGACGAGGGCGAATTGTTGTGTTTCGTCCCCTTTTTTTCACTGCATTGCGGCGAACGTGGCGGCCGCGTCGCCGTGGGGCCCGGCGCTGATGGCCAAAGTCTCCTCCTACACGGTCTCGGGCGACGGCGTTCGGGTGGAATACCCAAAGGAAAGTGCCGTTACCACCGTGTTTTGCGCCCTCGTCTTGTGCCTTGAGGGGTGCCCGCTGAACAGCTACCTGCGATGGATTGCGCTCGAGCAAGAGGCCGACGCTGACGTGCGACGCAAACTTGGCGGCCCCGCGTACGCCAGGCTTCAAGCCATCAAGGACCTCAACGAGTCGATTATAGCCGCTCTTTGCGAGGATGCGTCAAGCGCGGGTTGGAACTTGCCCCCTGACGCCATGCGCCGCGCGCACGCCATCTGCAGCAGTCGTTGCGTGGATGTGCCTCGCTCGCGCGACGTTTTTGGCGGCCCCGCGCTGGTGCCGTTCGTCGACCTCATCAACCACGACGAGGAGGAACCGAATGTGGCGGTCTACGTGGACACGATCGACGCCCTCCGGCCGCTGCTGCGGCGGTCCAAGCGCCTTCCCGAGGCGTTTGCGGACGGCGTCGGTGACGGCCATTGCCCCTTTTACGTCCTCGCACGGGCCGCGAAGGAGGTCGCCGCGGGCGAGGAGCTGCACTACCGTTACCTTGACCCCAGCGACGCGCTGGCGAGGGATCCGTTGTTTTGGGCCTCCCGGTTTCACTTCTGCCCGTAAAGGCGTTAGCTTCCCCTTTTTTCTGTGTGTGCCTCGTTTCCGCCCCTCTTCGCCGCCTGCTGCTGCCTCGGCCTCTGCCGCCGCCTCCCCCCACCTCTCTCTCTCTCTCTCTCTCTCTCTCTCTCTCCCTCGATGTGCATCTGTCCTTCTTCGCCCCGCGCTCTAACCGCATTCCGCTTCCCCCGCTCCCTTCAGCGTATTTTCGCCGCCGCCGGCTGGAAAGATGTCCGCGGGTGGGGGGAGCCGAAAGATGGCGGATAATGCGCGCGCCATCGCTTACTTTTGGGACGCCCTGCTTCACGCCGTGGCGCCCGCGCCAAACGCGGCGAAGCAGCGAAGGCGACGGGCACGAAAGTCCGTTTTTTGCTGCTCCAATTCCAACGACCGTCCGGCGAAGTTTTGGTTTTGTCGCCCGCCGCAACCGCCGCGGAAGCCGCCGGCGTTGGCGGTGCAGCAGCAAAAAAGGAAAAGGGTGCACTTCTCCGACGACGTTGAGGTGATTCTCATCGACCGACGGAATCAATCCATCCTCTGAGGCCCTGTGCAGAGCCATTTTGCCCTCGAAAAACCTATCATGCGCCGCGCTCTTTTGCCTGCGTGTTTCTCCGTTTTGGGGTGGCGGCGGGGCGCTGTTGCGAGTGCAGGAACAAGAGACCCCGCTTCTGACGTCAGTGCGTAACGGCCCCCCGCCACGGCCGCCGCGCCGTGTCCAATAAGCGGAAATGAAGGAGGTGTGCGCTATAGATGACTTGGGGCAAGACCGCGAAGGAGGCTTCTCCTGCACCTGGGATAGATGAAGAGACGCCGACGTGTGATGGTGAGACCCTGCACGCATATAGCTCTAGGTGACCCCCGCCCACGCCCAGCAAAGGCGTACTGGGGTTGTTTTTCCAGGGCTTCCTCACCCAGCATGCGCACTGTGTGTTTCACGCCAACGCAACAACAGCGTAGGCGTCACTGTTTCCAGGCGAAGCCTGGAAAAGGGTCTCTCTCGGAACCGGTACTTGGCAGGAGGGAACTGGCACCAGCGCGGGAGGATCAAAACCGAAGTGTCCTTGAGCCGGATTGTTTTGGCCACAGTGAACACATTTATTACTTGACGGGCGTGTTCTGCATGCTGTGGGAAACGGCAGCGAGGTCGCCCACTGTGGCCGACCAGCGCAAATGGCGTTTCGTACCATCTGGACGTCATGTTCTTATCACTGCAACCGCTAATGACGGTCTCTGTGTGCTCAGTGAATTTATTTCCCCACCCCTTTTTTCTCGCTATTCCTGTTGCTCGACGTGGCACAAGGGCGATATTCCAAATGAGCGATAAAAGGAATAAAGCGCCCCCGGTTAAGATAGTCATAGACCCACCGGATACCCCTGGGAATTTTGTTGGATACAACGTATTGTGTTCATCGCTTGACAATGACCGCCTGATGCAGCCGATCTACGAGGCCGAGTACGACAGTGAGACGCAGGCATGTGTGGATATCCGGAGCGGCGAGCACGCCTCGTATTATGAACACTACGCGCCGCAGGCCAGACGCAAAAAGGGGCTTCATATAGGGCCCGAATCCCCTCTGCCGCGACCGGCACTGGATTTGGATTTACTTGCGCCTCCCAGGGCCACCGGTCTTCCCCTCGCCCCCGTGCCGAGCAGCGTGTTGCAGGACCCGGTAGCCCGGCGGTTGGCCACCGGGGTGTGGCCGCGAAAATGATTACTGGGAGGAAAGTTGTCTTACAGCACAAGAACAAAAACAAAAAAAATTATCAGGGGACGAAGCGAGCAAAAGCAAGAATCATATATATATTTGCTGCCATTCCTTGCGGGGATGGCACCTTGACTCGTAGACCCCGCATTTTTTCCCCCTTTCCTTTTAAAGCTCCATCTTCAGCATGTGCCCTTTAGTGCGATTCATTTACGACGTGTGAGTGCGGCCGGCGGGCTCTCTTGTCCCCACCCCCTCTCCCCTGGTGCGGGTTGACGTGCAGCAACTGACAATACGCCTCTTCCCCGCCGTGGTGCCTCCTTCTGCCCTCTCCCCCTCCCTCTCTACTGAGGTA